ATGAAAAGAGCATAATTCATAGCATGTAGCTCCACATTGATATCGGGATAGTTCTCCTCTGCCGCTCTACCTTGACAAGACTCATAATCGATTATGCGGTCATGCCCATTTGTGTTTCCTTGAAGCAAAGCGCATCTTATTGCAAACAATGGAGCTCAGGGATGGCGTAAATTCGAAAAGCTAGACTCGGGGTACACATGGAACGCTTTTGCTTCGCCGATATGGTTGTCTCTCTCGCCGTGCCCCAACATTATTTGGTATTCTCTTGAAATGGTAAGGACTATGTTAGCGTAACTAGCACTATAATTATTAGTAGCTGTTCAGCCCAAGGAGTATCCTAAGGTACTTAAGATATAAGGACACTGGCCAATCTGCAAAGACCTTTAACTTTGCGGGATCATCCGCAGGCCATGCTTTCCATCGAGTATCTCAAAAATGGAGTCTAGCAGATACTATGTACAAACGTGTCTATAATTACACAACATTATTGAATTGCATTCTTTCGGACTCTGGTCGTACGTGTGTAATGTGGTCTCCACATCTGATTCCGTACGTTCCTCACGGGAATGAATGATTATATCGTTCGAATGCGTATGTTTATATGCACGATACTGCCTGTTCAGCTGGGTCACTTGGACATTGAAAGTCGCTGGCGAAGTAGACAGTCCCTACGGCACTACCACTCATGAGCAAAAGATTGAAAAACCTCGTAGTGCTATGCCCGCGTCAAAAGCGCAGCTGGATCTTGGCAAAATGGGTTCATGATTCACACGAGAATCACCATAAGAATTGTACATGGTACCGTTTTTTATGTCTTAATGGCTCATGGTGTTCAAGCTACACCAAGAATTCGATCATGTCTTGAATTCGGTTGTTGGTCCCGATAACATTGTACGCAGTCAAGTTTTGGTGTTGCGCGATTAGTTGGAGCAAACCTTTCACACTTCCCCGTTGGGAAGTCCACGCAAATTGTATCCATATATAGCATCTTCAATGCTTCGCGAACTCTCTCTAATATCTGACAGTAGCGCGTCAAGCGTAATTCTCTATGCTCTTGAATCTATCAGGAATTGCTAGGCTTTACAAAGGACAAAACACTATCCTTCATAACAAACAACTACCTCATAAAATTGCTTCTTCTGGGGCTGCCTGACGTCGATCTACATGAGGTACAATAAAAATACAATAAAACCCGGTTCAATCCTATTAGGCGCACAGCAGCCATTTAGACCGTTTCCCGATACAACTTCTCGGTAAGTCCCCGCGTGAAAGCCAATAATTCGTACCTCTTAGCTGAAAGCGAAAGACAGTAGGCAAGGTGAGATGCTCTGTTTTAATACAGATCAAACGTCTGCGTGCACTGCGGAGTTGTTCCGCAGTTGAGAGATTCATCATTTCTCATGAGCATGACTGTGATCAATCGTCTGGAATTTGGCATTGGTTCTCCGCTTCCGGTACCTTATCCGGCGCTCGCGGCATAGAAAAATTTATCCTACATTCAGTGCAACACCCACTGGTTCTTTGAAAGAGCTGATGTGAACACTGAAGACCGATACGAGAGCTACACCCGCTCTAAGGGCCTCCAGGATGGTTGTCACCGCTCTCGACCCGAAAGAGAGTCATCGGCTATTTGGCGCTGAAAGCCGTTCACTTCTGAAAATAGTCGCTGATTGTCTTCTCTCTTGATGGCTTAAAACATCTTTGAGCACTAATTCATCGCCTGATTAGGCGTTGCGAACTCCCACGATATCTATCGCTTCAGCTGTTTTCAGAAATAGAATGCTTTCCCTAGAGTGCTGCACGAAAGCACTCATCTTCACGTGCGGCCTCCTACCATGGAGACCTTCAACCATAGACGCTGTTTTTTTAATTTGGGATTTTGTTGAATATATGATCACCTAAACTTCTCGTATCCGAGGAGAAAGTTACTTCGTACGTGGCAAGCGCTAACCATTGTCGATTATGATTCTGTTCGTTTTGTTGGAAAATGCTAGTAAGTCTTCAAGGTGTCAATGATTGAATGGCAGTTTGATTGTGGAGTGAGTGTGCTAGCACATCTATTCAAGACCAACAAAGAATTGGGATTTTAATCGTGTCCAGTATCCTGAAGACATATTGTTAAGCAAATGTGATCTATCATCATCCATAAGACCCGGTCGCCACTTTAAAAGACAAGGGCTACAAAGTCCGACAGGATTGCCATGCACTTTTCACAGAGAAAGGTCTGACTAGACGAGGCTGCGTTTTTAATGCACAAAGGATCAGCACGTATGCTAAACCCAGGAGCAGTCCCTCGAGCATCTGTACTAACTAGATATCTATTTTTTCTTTCAAAGTGACATATCGAGGGTTAAGTCTGAATTAAATATACTTAACATTACTAATTGCACTGTCCAGTAATTAAACGTTATCCATTGCACTTCTCATGTTTCGGTCCCACGCACGGCGAGCGTTCATGAGTACTCTGACTGTTGTAGCGTGTACATTTACAGTAGTACAGTAACCCTCGTTGTCAGACCCATCACAAAGTGAAAGTGCGTGCTTACGATGAGGGTCCACCGTCGTCCATGTGCCACATTCGGTATAGCCTGCTACGCTCAACGAAGCGAAGGATCTAAAAAGTAATCGCCCCCGAGGAGCTTTGGAGCATCATACGGATAATTAATCAATTCACTCTGCTATGTAGTGTGGCCTTTAATACAGAAATTCTTCATTTGAACAGCACTTCATAACGGTGGACCTTCGAGAGACGGCAGTAGGCACTCTGGGTGGCAAAGGGAACCTTTTGACCAAGTACATTATTTTTTGTCAAGCTGACTGTAGATGGTGCAGGATCTCATTGATGACGCTTGACAACTTGTGGTTCTATTGAGCTGTCGCCTGACAGAGTACGAGATATCATGTCTGTCGTGGAGATCTTGTCAGATGATTCACTTATTGATGTTTCAAAGACGCTTTTGAAAGAAAATGAGCGATACTGTAGATAAGACCAACGGAGCATACGCTCAAGGTCAGCGGAAGTTGCTTTAATAGAGGCCAAGATCACGTTTGCAAAGGGATGCCTGCGAAGGATTGATGGTAGTCGTCAGGTCAAGTGTTTTAAGTGTAACAATAGTTACTGTCTGATGAGCTACGCTCAGTCTCGAATGCTGACGCTTTGATTTGGTTGGATTATTACTACCTGCTAAAGTATCTTACGACCGATACTTTAGCTATACCGGAACCAATATCATACAAATAAAGACTTCGCTTTCTTTGGGAAGACTTTATGAAGTTTGATGTACATTAACAACACAAGGCTTATGATGCACCGCAGATGAAAATCCAGAAGGTTATTGAGTCAACACAAAGAACGCTCATCTGGTGTAGTCGCATATTTAGGCGCTGGAGATGATATATGCAGCAATCTCATCAATATGCCAGACAACAAGCAAACATTAAGGATATATATTTCACACCATTGGAGCTGTGTAATCAGAGTGTTGCCATTCAACGGAGTCACCATCACTGTGAAAGGATGTGCATATAGGTGTGGATTTGACGAGCTGTAATGGATGGCAGTCTCAGTGTAACTGATTCTAGTGAGTTAGAACTGATTCACATTATGATTGACGAACTTCTTTTGATGGTAACTTCGTGGCAATGAACCCGCGTCAACGCGTAGCCACGATTACACAGCACCACGTCAATTCGCTTGATTTGTTTCAGTGAACGGTGCTTTATGTGACAGGAATGTTTTCTGGCCATGAAGCTAATGCTCTTTGCCCCGAGTTCGATCGATGTAACCTTTTGGCCGAGCTAGCAATAAAACCCACACTAACTTTGTCATATGGAGTTCGGTTTGCCTTCTTACGTGTCGTCTGCCACACATGAAGGTGACCATAAGTCAGAATCAATGCAATCGACGCGATGGTTGGCGTCGGTGTTTTTGATGTTTCATACGACTAATACTTTGTGCAGAACCTGTTTTGGGTGATGAGTGACCACTAGGTGATCCGTTATTGAGGCTCGATGAGCGATCACATTTTTGCCAGAAAGGGAGACAATGAAGACATTCCGCTCTTGCACGGATCAATAAGTTTCTTCAATACGTTATGTCCGATGACTACAATTTTGAAAAATCTAATGTTGGTTTAAAACATATCTCGTGAAATAAAGCAACATCCTCCATCGCTATCGTAGCGAAGCGTCAAATTTCTGGAGCTAAGAAGGACAGAAAGCGAAAAGTATTGCCGAAATCACGTGTATAAAGCCTCTGCATGACAGTATTCCGTTCTGTCTAGTCAAGAAGTTACTCGATATAAAAAACAATGATTTCCTTTGTCTAAGATATTATTTTCCGCCCGGAGCTGAAATCAGCAGCGTCAAATATGATAGGTATATCATACTCTTGGTTTACGTTGCATATTGTCAGGCTATGATGACTTCTCGTTGACATTACGTCATCGGGTATGTATTGCTAGTATATTTCAGCAAGTACAAGAAGCAGCTTGATACTTCCGATATGAAGATTTCGGACGACAATGCTTAAAAGCAATCCGAGACTGAGGCGAAGCAGAAGACTGAGTGGTCCGGTAATTAAACTTTGTTTAGAATACATGATCATCACCAGAATCAGTTACGACAGTACCTCCAATCGAATCTCATCAGAGCTTTGACATGTTATCGAGAGTTGGACGCAGCACTGCAAATGCGCAAAGGAAAAAACATTTTCTACTTTATGATACAACTAGTCGTGTTTTACTGCACGGCATCCTTTGCAAACAATCTCGGAATAAACAGTCGCCGATAACTGACACGTCCCGTAAATCCGCATATTGAAATGTCCACTTGAGTATGTTTGACCCACTGCCATGAACACCAAAACTATATAATTAGCGGAGTATTTGAATTTGATGATTTCAAACATCACGGGCGAACATCTACAGAGAAATAGTGCTGCATCGAAAATTTCCATATCGAGGATTGCCATAATTCACCACGAATGCTAAATCAATAATTGCTTTCTTCATATATTTTGGTGCTTCGCCTGCTCATTGCTCTTCCAAGGGTTGAACTTAAAAATAGAAAAAATGACCATGCATTAGTCAGGTACATCTCAAATATGTTGATGTGGAATCGTCTTGAGAAAACATGGAACGACTTACAAGTGGGTCGTCAAGGTTCTTATTCTGTTGAACGTCTCGAAAGCTTTAATGCATACTGCGATACCACTTCTCGCATTCGTGTAATCTTCGTGTGCTTGCTCACTCCGATACCTACTCTCGCGGTAGCGATTTTTTTGGAGTGCCTCCCCCTCCGCAAACCGTCTGAAGGATGGAAAGCCAACTGGATGTTTTGGATTCGTCTGGCAATAGCAGTGTTTACGATTAATTTAACAGCTAATTTCAGTTTCGCATCATTCATTCCAGTCTTAAAGATGTCGCTTCTCAAGATTTTTAACATGGCTTTTTCACTCACAGTGATGTACATGACTACCATGCTGTATATTTCCAGCAAGGTTGGGTTCCCTCTTCCATTTTTGGAGCAGATTGGAAGCGTGGTTCTTACAATCTACATTCCAATAGTTGTTCTGCTAGTGTTGGGGACATCACCATTCACAAAGAATTCTGAATGTCGGCCATACTTTAGGCGATTCCAGCGATTTCAGCTCGCGTATTTAACTCTCGCCATCATATACCCATACTACAAAGCGCTTTACGATTTTACACCATCGCCGTATCGTACGTTTACAGTCATAATGCTGCCGATTTGGAAATTTGGATCCAAATATTTAGTAGTAAGTGCCACTCGTGAATTGGAGGACTTCATACCGCAAATATTAAGTTTTACTGTGGATCTGTACAGTTCACTTTTCATATCTGTCAGCATGTCAAGTGCTGGATCTTTGCTCTTATCTGCATTATTCATTGTTGTCGATTTGGGACTCACATTTCTGGAATATCGCGAACTTCGGGACAATGCATTTTTGGTAGTGCAATTACTAAATCAGCAACGAATGTCTCAAGGTTATCTGCAGCCAACGTCATCGTCTGAATTGCCGAATTTGCTTGGAATGATTCTCACAGTGACACGAAATCCCTGCGCCGGTAGTATACTTGTAATGCGTGGTGTGCGTTTGCGTGCATGTCTACCGCATCCCCTTTCAGATGATCGATATAAGCAACTTCAAATTCTCGCAGCGTCAGGATTGTATTGTCAGAATGTCACGATTAACAGGCAATTGGCTCACCGAAGCAATTTCATGTCTTGCTTTCTTTCTAATAATTCAGTTCAACCGATCAAGCCAAACCTCGTGAAAGTCTTGACCAAACAACCGACACAAAAAGCCGCTCTTCGCACTGGAGTGCATGAACCTAAAGCAATGAATGGCAACCGGTCGGAACATCTCGTTCTTCAGGGACTTCAATTGTTATTTCATTGCGAATATTTGGCACTCGTGGAATACATTGAATGTGTTGTTCCCGCCGTATATGTCACGT